ACGAGCCAGTGGAAACACCCACCGAGAAGACCATCGTGGAAGAAGTGGCCGCTCCGGAGCCTGCACCTATCGCCGATCTGCACGTCGCCGCAGAAGCCCCCATCGAGGCGGATGTTCTCCCGGTGGAGGTCGCCGAAGTGCCAAGTGCCGAAGCTGCTACAGCTGAAGGAGTGGCCGATGTGTGTGGAAGATGGTGAAAATTCCATTCATGAATTGTCCATTCCTCGTAAAGCCGACGATGGTGGAGCATTCATTAGCCATGTCAGGGAGGGTTTCGGGAATCCGATGCTACGAAAGGCGTTGTAGTTGTACTGTGTTTTATTTAAGATTTATGTAATATTTACTTTTCATGTTATCTGTGGTACTAAACCAGTATTTCGATTCCTAACCTAACGTTGTTGTGTTTTTGTCATCTTCGGCTTGAATACTCCCATATACTGGTAGTGAAAAATACCCCAAGTTGGACAGGGTAGGATCTTGTTCACTTTGTTGATCACGTGGTACCGACAGCAGAAATCGCCGTCTATCCAACTTGAATACTGAAGCAATAGCACTCTGACACATTGTGAAATGTAGAGAACACAACGAGGCAATAGCCTACAGGTATTTGTTATATATTCCATGGATTTCTTCGCCGTTCGTGTGCTTGACACGCACAAGGTGTGCTATCATGTCTATCACCATCGCTCGGTTATTTTCTGCTTCGGCCACGCGTCGTTCCACGGGCCATGCACTGCTGCTGCTACTGCTCTCCTGTCTCAAAACTGGTAGGGACGGCGTCGACTTTTCGATCTTCCGACGCAGGTAATTGCACATGTGCACCACACAGTTGGAGCTGGTGCAGTGAGACGCGTGGAAACAAAGGAGACGGAAGATCTTGGCACAGTGAACGCACTCCTCGATCTCATCAATGCGCGACGTCGTGCGGCGTTTCGTGTAGCAGTTGAGGAAGTGGTGAATAGACGATCGGATCTTCTGGCATCTCCCTTCGAACTCAAAGCACTCGGAGAGACGACACGTTGACGCATGCATCAACGCTTCGTTGTACACGTGCAGCTTCCGCTCTTCCGGTGTTGCCATCGCCACTGTGGTTGGGAATGAAAATGGCCCTTATCCGGAGAAAGCAACATTCGGCCGGATAAATCATACTATTAATAAATGAAATGATTATCTATCAGAACATTCGATTGCATTACTATTATATTATATATCATGAGTAGTAATACTGTAACGTTAAGTTATTACTACGTAGTATAGTATTAATAATAATACCTTCAAGTAGTGCTGTATTAATAACAGTACTAGTATTTACTTCGAAGTACTGTATTCATCAGGTACTACAGTGGTTAACATGGCTCGCTAGGAAAAGAGTGCCCTGTGGACCAGTACTTGTCCACAAGAGCATTCTCTATGTGTGGCCAATGGCTTAAAGTAAGTGTCTTGATTGTTGATCCGATAGAGGCAACTTCATCGTGTCAATTGCATCTTGCCCGATCAAACAACTTCAACACTATACATACACTCTTCAAATGTCGGGGACTATTTATCCGGACACTTCAGACCGGATAAGGCGTCATTCGGACCAACCTCACCTTCATTTTCCGTGTTGAAACCCCCCTGTTAGACGTACCTTCTGTAACGCCAGCCGCCATGTCTGAAACGCAGCCCCTCCAAGACATGCTCAATCGCCTGCACGAGCGCATTGCACAGCTCGAAGCGCACTTGGGCTTTAAGTCTCCTTCTCGTGACGCAGGCAGCAGCAGCGTTGGCCAGGCTGCTGCGCCCGTGGTGGAACTCGCGCCTCGCATCACCGCCTACGACGAGTACACGGCGTCGTACTTGACTCCGTTTCTCGCTGCCGCAGACAAACTCGGTGAAGAAGGCAAAGCATTCGGGGCCATTGTCAAGAGCGCGTTTGACGGCCAGCGCACGTACCTCTTGGCCGCGAGCGTGTCCAAGAAACCGACGACCGGCCCTGTCCCTGCCCTTCTCGCGCCCATCCAAGACGCCATCAAGAGCGTCAACAAGTTGCGCGTCAAGGGAAACGAGTTCGTGAACCACCAAAAGATGCTCGGCGAAGGCATCCAAGGCTTGGGCTGGCTGTGCATCGAGCCAGCGCCCAAGCCGTTCATCGAGTCGTACATTGGCGGCGCGGACTTTTGGGGCAATAAGATTCGAGTCGAATTCAAGGCCACCAAGCCCGAACATGTCGACTTTGTCGCGACCTTTAAGGCCCTGCTCACGGAATTGATGGCGTACGTCAAGGAGCACCACACCACCGGTGTCACTTGGAACCCTCGCGGCGGCAGCGTGGACGATTTTTCGGCGTCTCCAGCAGCTGCTGCCCCTGCTGCGACTCCGGCACCAGCCAAACCCGCGGCCGCTGCTGCCGCCGCTCCCAGTGCTTTGAATGCCTTGTTTTCAGGTATATTGACTGTTGGGTCGTTGTATTTCCATGGCGATTGTACTCATCGATTTGAATTGCCGACGTCGTGTAGGAATTAAATCCATCGATCAAAGCAGCGGCAAGACAGCCGGCTTGCGCACCGTGACAAAGGAACAACAAACGTGGCGCGCCGAGTACAAGGCGGACGGCGCGGCGCCTCCTGCGCCCACCCCCAAGCCTGCTGCCGCCGCCGTCGCCAAGCCGGCCGCCCAGCCCAGTGGCGAGCCAGTCTGCGAATTGCGCAACGGCAACTGGTATGTGGCGTACCAAAAGGACGTGTTCACCGTGAAAGATGTGACAATGAAGCAACAAGTACGTCATCATTCACAATGTGGTTGGTTCCCCATATCCGGGTGTAATGCTGGTGATTTGGCATAGGTGTACATTTTCGGGTGTGTGAACGCGACGATTTTGATTGACGGCAAAGCCAAGACCATTGCCTTGGACAAGTGTGTCAAGACCAAGTTGATTTTCGATGCCGCCGTGTCGTCGATCGAAATTGTCAACTGCAAAAACGTCCAAGTGCAGTGCAAACTCAAAGGTATGTCTACTATTGTGCTTTCCAGTGAAATTTCATTGTGTTGTGTTGTGGTTTCTCGTTGGAATTTAAATCGATTTGATTGGCTACCTCAGATGAGCTCAAAATTATTAGCCAATCAAAACCTTATCAATGAAATTCAACTACCAATCAGATCGATTGTGGATCGGTTTGGTCGGCGCGATTCGATTGCACCCCGTCCCCAAATTTGTATCAAATCGACAATATTTATTTTAACTTAAATTATACGTCCTTTTAAATCAGGAAAAAAATGGATTTTTTTATGTGTGATGCTGATTGCATATTTGTGATAGTGCCGTCGGTGGCAATTGACAAGACGGACGGAGCACTCGTGTACTTGTCGTACGAAGGCCGCGATGCACTGATTGTCACGTCCAAGAGCTCGGAAATGAACGTGGCGTTCCCCGCGTCAGCCACGTCCGAGGACTACATTGAGCGACCGATCCCAGAGCAATTTGTGCACCGCATCACGGACAGCAACACCGTCGTGTCGGATGTGTCGGACCTGTACTCGCATTAATCACAACGCCATAGTTGAGAGACAACGACTTTTGCGTTTTAGCTTGGACTTTACCTGAAAAGTGTCGTTGACGTCAAGTACGGTACCACCGGGGTTTCCCTGTGACGACGACTTGACCATAGCTGTGCCACTGTACAGTACTAGTACACTGTACTAGGACGAATGGAATAACGTTGTATACCGTTGCGACGGTTGGGAGCAACGTAGTTTCATCGTGAGCCCCATCGATGGGCGTGCGGCCAAGCTTGACGTCCGTTTTTCAAGTTGGAAAGGCTCGCCATGGGTTACCATATGTAGCTGACTTTACTTACCTTACTGGTAGTAGTTATGGCACCACGACTATAATCACACTACACTCTGGGCCTGAGACACAGTGTGTAGTGGGAATGCACGGTTATTTTGCATTATGTTGGTGGGCAATACGAGTTTTAGAAAGAATAGTGCATTCGCTAGAGCGTCTGTACACTAACTAACGCTAGTACTGAATCACACACACATCGATCGATAGGTCGTGGAATTGGACAAGACTGCTGGGGAAAATCCACTGCATCCACCCAAGTCGGAGGTCGAAACCGTTTCATATGAAACGCCTATGAAACGCTCCTTTATTGCAACACCAGGTTGTTTCGAGGAACAACCATGGCCAAGAAGGACGAAGTCAAAGAGGCGGTGGTGGAGCCATCTGTCGTCCCGGTGGACGAAAAGCCAAAGGACCCCCCGGGGTGGGGCATGGTGTGGCGAGTGCTCACGCCCGAACAGACCGCCATGCTGTTGGGGTTGTCGTCTCCGTCGGCCATCATCGCGGCCTTGTGCGACGTGCTGCACGTCGAGCACTATGCAGACAACCCCCGCAGTCGAGTATATGTGGACTTTTGCTTTTACAACTTTATGTTTGCCAAGGAAGACGCCGGGTTTTCCGCGGCACAACTCGCCCTCTTTCTGGCCATCACAACCTCCGTGTTTGATCATGCAACGACGATGACGAGTGTCTCCAACGCCGAAAATAAATCCCCCCCCACGTTGGCCGACAACTACGCCGTGTTCAAGCAACTTGTCAAGCAACACAGCGTCGACATGGTGCCTCAGCCACCACAACACGACACGACGACCGACAACCAAAACAGTGCCAATGTTTACGTGGCCATCTACTCCCTTGACGACGTCCAGCGCATCGTGCAGTACCTCACGAGCACATTTTACCGCCACTTCAAAGCGTTCCAATGGGCATTTCAAGCACATCCCGAGTTTGTCCGTCAAGTCCGCCACGTCGCGGTGGAGACCCCGCTGGTTCCGCCCCCCATGGCATTCGCGTTGGAGCTGGTAGCCAGCCAATCATATGCATGCCCGAGCCTTTCTACCGGCATTTCCCCCCATGATCTTCCAAAGGCAACGACCCCAGTGAACGACCACGCTTCGATCGATTCGACGAATCATACTAAAAATCCTTAGCACCCCGTCTCGGTTACATTACATAGTCTCTCTCCAAGGGCATACAATTCAGGCCATGTGTTGCAACGCTTTGCAACTTATGTTGGCGAGGAGGACTACAGTACTCCTTTTTGCGCTTAATTTCAGTATTATTTCGAAAGGTGTGGGTGAATTAAAATGGGGGTTAGGTGAAATACATCCGCTTTTGGTCGAAATATTTTGAAAAAAAAGCTGAAATTAAATGCAAAATGGTGTGTAGTACTATTAATAGTTGGGGTACAGCAGAGTGTCGTACATTCAATGATACGTTCAAACAAGATGTCGTTTAATTAAGATGTGTCGACGCCAACGAACGACAGTGATACATCGATCGATTACGCTGGAGTTGACGTCGGCACACGCTCAATGACAATGGCCGACGCGCCGCCGCCTCCATTGCACACGGCCGCGCAGCCAATCCTAACATAATCGTGTCGTCATGTCTAGATATATTGTTTAAGCTGGAGCGACGACAAGAATGCAGTGAAAACGAATCGACACACCCAATGAAATGATGATGTACACACGAATCGGTAGAAGGATGTAGCCAAATCAAGTTGTCAAAATTAGTGTGAGACTTCAAATAGTGTGATTACAAACAACTTCAAAAATCAATCGAAATCGTCGTCAACATCGAATTAGTATATGATTTTAAATAGTGTGATTACAACCCCCAACAGGATCATCAATCGATAGGATTTGGTCAAACAAGTCCAAAATTTGGGCAAAAGGACAATATATGAAGTATATACACATACCGTCCGTTCTCTTGAGCCAGGACCGAGCACAGCGTGACAATAATGCGGGCACCAGAACAGCCGAGGGGATGACCTAGGGCGACCGCGCCACCATATACGTTGACCTTGTTCGCGTCCAGATGCAGCAGCTGGGTGTTGGCGAGCGCCACAGCCGAGAACGCTTCGTTGATTTCAAAGAAGTCGACATCCGCCACCGTCAAGTCTGCCCGTTGCAATGCCTGGCAACACGCACAATATTTGTCAAGCCCCCCCCCCATGTAGTTACGATGACAGGGGCGGCGGCGCTGTGTACCTTTGGAATGGCCACGGACGGCGCCGTGGTAAACCACTGGGGGTCGTGCGCTGCGTCGTCGAAACCGCGCACCACCGCCACAATCGAAAGCCCCAGCTCGATGGCCTTTTCGCGACTCACCAGCACGAGCGCGGCGGCGCCGTCGCTGATGGGGGACGCATTGCCTGCCGTGACGGACGCCGCGGGGGTGAAGCACGGACGCAGTTTCCCCAGCGTCTCGACCGACACGGATCGAGCAAATGCTTCGTCGTCGAGTTCAATATAGCTCGGCGCGTGCCCTGCATACCGTCAACAAGCAGGACGTACGCACGTTACCACCCACACAAGTGTCAAGTGTAGGATATTGCAATGTAGTACCTCGCTTGAGCACAACGGGCACGGGTACAATCTCGGCTTTGAATTTGCCTTGTTCGGTGGCAGTCTATATATATATATATATATATAGTCGTACATATAAGACATGTTGACCATTGTTCGACAACGAGATATATCACACACGAACGCCAAGCGCAACACGTGTATCGTTGGCATTTCAAATCCATCAATAATATATTTATGAATATATCGAACGAGAAGCACCAAATCGATTGACCAATCAAAACCCAAAACAATATTGTCAAGTGGCCAATCAAACTCTCGCTTCAACCATTCAACAACGAATTAGTGTAATTTTCACATACACCATTCAGTACAACTAAAGAATCGATCGGTGGAGTTGGTGAATCAGCATACACAAATGTCAAAATTTTGGCTGAAAGGGCAATCAATATACACACATTCCTACAAAAAACCCAAACCACAGCAGAAGAGAGGGCATGCTGTCCGTACCACTGCCTTGTGGTAGCTGGAGGCAGCATACCCGTCTTGGTCGGCACGCGACAGGGTGAACTTGGCCGCGGTGGCTTCAGCAAAGTTTCCCATCGGAACGTTATCGAACGCGTCATTCAAGCCATCCTACAAGAAAGAATGTCATATTGTGCTTTTCAGTCAAATTTGCCTATTTTGGGGGATTGATGAAATCGTCAACTAATCGAGCAAAGGAGTATGATTGGCTATAAAGAATGAAGGTTAAAATATGATTGGCTCAAAATATTGATTGATGCATTGCAGTCTCAAATATACCTTTACAACTCAGTTTTATATGAAATTTAGAAGGGTTCGGCGGTTGATTCAACCAATCGCTGGAGGAAATTTTGAGTAGAACACACAATATAACCATTGAAAGAAAGCTTATCGTTGGAGCATGAGGATATGTGCAGTACCCGTTGGATAGCATCTACAAATGAAACGTCGCCAAAGCGAGCGCCGCCGCGCAATGTGTTGGACATGTGGGGCGCGTTGGTCATGCTTTCCATGCCGCCAGCAATCACAATGTCGCGCAGACCTAGCATGATGGCCTGACTCGCCAGTGCCACCGCTACAACAGTCCACGACACAACCAACGATTAGTATGGGCAACGGAATATACGAGAACTGGTTAACGTCGAGAGATAGGACGTACCTTTCATGCCAGACGCACACACTTTGTTGATGGCGGAGCACGGCACTGTGTTGGGGAGGCCTGCTTTGAGCGCCGCTTGGCGCGCCGGCGCTTGGCCAGTGCCGCCGGAAATGACGTGGCCCAGAAACACTTCCTCCACCAGGTCACCGCTCACTCCGCTGCGTTCCAGCGCACCTTGAAGAAGGAGCGTTAATACTCATTATGGGCAATAATATCGCGTACTTTGAATGGCTATGGCGCCAAGCTCCACGGCAGATTTGGACGCCAGCGAGCCTTGCAAGGACCCGATGGGAGTGCGGGAGATACCCACGATGCACACCTCTACGGTCATCCTGGTCAGTAGATGCGGACAAGATGACGAGTTCGCACCGCGATTCGCGTGAACTTTTAGGCGCTTGGTCATGGGAAATGGAGAACTTCTGAAATGACATCACGACCCAGCCTTGGATTGCCCATCGATCGAACTTCGAACTTCAAGTGCAGAGTCGAAACGGCCTTGGATTGGCTGAAATGGACCAATCCCATCTCGAGTTGAAGCGTTGGGAGACGGGGCTTGAATGTCCGACTTTGAACACGAGTACCAGGATTTTGAACCGAATTTCAGGCAGTTCCAGGCCGCATATCCGAATTCTGCCGAATCATTGCGATTACAAACCGCGGTGGCACCACCAAACGGTTTGTAGTCACCACGATTCAACAGCCTGCCTTGACAACCACCACGAACGAGTCAACTTATCAAAGTGATGGTGAACGTCATCATCGTTGGAAGTAAGCAGAACAGTTAACGTTGCCATGTACATGTACTGCAGCCGTGGCTAACGTTAGGCATAAGTACTTAAGATTGGTCCACACACTCTCCTCTACGCTACGAGCTGCTGGCGTGTATTCCTTCCTACCTACCTGTGACTTTGCTTACTGTGACGTCGCAGCTAACTGTAAGTACAGTACTGTCTGTATACAGGTGAAAACCTAGAAAGAGGCACGACTCCGGAGCAGTGCCTCTCGGTAAAGTACGTTGTCGTTCATTATGGTACTCGTAAAATATTGACTCTGTGATCTGCGAATTGATTTGAACCAAGTGGTCATGGTGGTGACCTGGCAGTTCGCGGGAGCGCTGTCTGACTTGTCTGTGACGACGTTGTACGAGATCATGCAGTTGCGAGCAAAAGTCTTCATTGTCGAGCAAGCATGCGTGTACCTTGATTTGGATGGTTACGACAAGGCCTGCGTACACGTCATCGGCACATCCGCGACTGGAGGCGACGCCAAAATTGTCGCGTACGCACGCGTGCTGCCTCCACACACTAAAGGAAACTCACAGCAAGTACCCATGATCGGACGGGTGGTCGTGGCTCCAGAAGCCAGAGGCCAAGGGCTAGCCTCGGAGCTCATGGTCAAGGCCATGGACGTATGTACTGAACGATGGCCGCAAGGCGGCATTGCTATCAGTGCCCAAGTCCATTTGGAATCGTTTTATTCGCGTCTCGGGTTTCACACAACGTCCGCTGAACCGTACGACGACGACGGCATCATGCACATTGACATGCATCGACCGTAGCTATGATTTTTCCCAGGGGTGGATCGAATAACGTAGATACTTACCGTATAACAAAAGTTTGGGGACATATGTAGCATGCTTGCTGGGGTTGCTGTGACACTGAAGCAACGTACAGATTGTGGCGTCTCATGTTCGTAACCCGCCGATGGCGAGATGACATTTCTAGCCGTCCATGCCCTTGCTTGCAGCGATTGTTGGCAACCCCAAAGGTATATCAATATATGCGACAGTGTGTGGTTGCTCCAATTGCATTGTACACCAGTACTCCATTTTCAACATTTTCAACATTGAAACCCCCATTGAACCCCCTAAGTAACCCCTCAGTGCAAATAGCAATCAGTTCATATACCGGCCGTGCCATCTTTGTCGGCTGCGGTAGTTCACGTCAATAGGCATCCTTTGTCGTCGCATGGGGCATCGGACTCAGGCTTTTGTGGCCCACAGACCACATCAAATTTAAGAGTGCACGACCCATCACCATTGTTGCTTGCACAAAACTGGAAAGTCCCGATGGACTATTCTGATTGGCTTATTTTTGAGCGTTACACACTTCCCATTCTTCATTGTCCATGCTCCATTTTTAACTTTGAAACCACCTAATAGGGGGTTTACAGTGGGTTTCAAAAGTCCGTCGACCATTTTAAGATCTTGATGGAAGTTCACTTTTTGGGCACAGGTCCGTCCACGGGTCTTCCGTCTATCCGATGCCTGCTCAGTGATCAGCTGTGCACCGTGTGTCGCGATGCGCACACGAACGCGGCCTCCAAGAACCACCGGAACAACCCGAGCCTGCTCGTGCGGTACAACGACCGCAACGTCCTCATCGACTGCGGCAAAACCTTTCGCGACAGCGTCCTTCGCGTGTTTCCCGCCCACAACATCAACCACATCGATGCTGTGCTGCTGACGCACGGCCATGCCGACGCGTGCCTTGGCCTCGACGACCTGCGCGAGCTCCAGGTGCTGCAAACCACGCGGTGCGAAGAAACGGGCGAGCTGAAGAAGATCGCGACGACGCCGCTCTTGTTGCACTGCCACGCACGCACCAAGGACGAGGTGCTGCCCAAGTTTGAGTACCTCATGGACAAGCCGCTGCCACCGGGTGCCACGTATCGGTGGACTGCCAAGCTGGACTGGGCATTGTTCGAAGACCTCGACACGTTCACTGCCGCCGGCGTCACGTTCAAGGCGCTGCCGGTGCTGCATGGAAAAGGGTACATCTGCAACGGATTTGAGTTCGGGGGCGACGTCGGCGCGCGGTTCGTGTACTTGTCAGACTTGACGGACGTGCCCGACGCCACCGTGGTCGCGCTGACCAACCAAAGTCCCATCGATGTCCTCGTCATCGACGCCTTGTACTTGGAAGACGTCCATGGCACGCACATGAATTACCGCCAAGCGATGGACGTGGCCAAGTTGCTACGCCCCAAGAAGACGTACCTGATTGGCATGGGCGACGACTTCGACTACGACCAGACCAACTCTGTGATTCGGACCGAAATGCTGCAAAGTCATGGCTTGGACGTTGAAATGTCGTACGACGGACTGCTCGTTCATCTCGGATGAGTAGACATAGAGTTTGAAGATGGTTTAACCGTTTTGAGTAGAGTCAAATATAAGGTCGATGCACAAGTTTTACTCTGAACCGAGTACCTCAGAGTACATGGTCAAGGTTTGTAGCTAACAGAACGTACTACGTTGAGAACGCGGTAATATCTGAATTATGTGTCGAACGGCTTGTCATTCCAGTCGAAAGCCGTGCTGGTCGCGCCCGACGATATGCCAGCAAGCCTTGTCGTGGCCGTCGAGGTCCCTAAGACATTTTGCCCTTCGACGACAAATGCGTTGGTTGGCTCGAAGCTGCAGGATGATGTCGTACAGTGTGGACGCGGACAGGTCAACAAACAACGAGCACGTCAAGTCGACGATCATTGTCGGCGTGTTCTCCACCCATCGAGCAAGAATATCCTGATTTCGGTTTGTGGTCAGTGAATAAAGTGGAGTTTACAATTTGCATCTAACAACTTCACATTGCAGTGCCGTTTCGGATATGGCCCGAATAAAAGCGTATTCCTTGGGTCCATTTACGACCAGCATGTGGACGATGATGCCAAGCAGTAGCATCGAGTTGTCAATATGTATGTGCTTTACTAACGTCAGAAGCATTGTAGAGAATTGCAACCACACTTAGGACAAGACTGTGTAGCACCTTCAATTTGGATGGTTTTAGGCAGAGGTCATATACATGTGTAGTACTTGGTCATTACAAGGCAGTCACTGTGCTTTTCACATAATCGTGGTGCATATCAACATGCAAGATACCGTCCTCATCGTACGGCTCGGACACTGCCTTGAAGCCCAAACTCGCGTAAAACTCTTCCAATCGCTGTTGCGCTCCAATTTCGATGCCATGCGTAGGCCACAGCTTGTGGCATTCGTCCATGGCCTTCAGCATGAGGACGCGACCTCTGCCCGTGCCTCGCGCTTCTGGCGGCACCACGACACGACTGATGATTGGTCGTTTCTGGTGTGGACCCTTGAGCAACGGCGCCACGAGGCGGGCGTACGCAGCGATGGTGCCGTCGGGAGCTGTGCCGACCACATGCCAGCAACCTTTGTCGTACCCGTCGACTTCAACCCAGATACACTTCTGTTCCACAACGAACACTCGAGAGCGGAGCTGCATTGCGTCGTACAACGTGTGCACGGATAGCTCGCGGAATGGCACGCAGGACCATTGGATGGTGCCTTCCGTTGTTGACATGAAAAAACGAATTTGGTGACTTGGCAAATGGCTCGTTGCTCCAGAAAATTCTTGTGAAAAAAGATGACATATCTCACCAGGAATATACGCAGGCTATAATAACGTGGTGGAATGTTATGCACGTTGAAGGTGACTGTTCGTCGCACAACATCAACACGATATATGGGCGTAGGGTTGCTCTCGAAGCCAGCAGACGTCGCGGCCATCAACTACGACGACATCCGCGTGGCTCCATCAACCGAAGTCGCGCAATGGTTTGACAGTTTAGGTCATGACTACCACGAATACGCCACAGCCACGTTGGATCACGGGATTGACGGACCCCTGCTCCGGTCGCTGAGCTCAAGCGACTTGCCCATTTTGATCGAGGCCCTGGGAGTCACGAATCCCCTCCACGTTCGGCTCGTGGCCACGTTCTTCCACCAATTCAAATTCGCTCAACGCACTGCGGAGCGGCCCGAACCGTCGCCCGCGGAGCAGCACCAGCACCAGCACACGTTCAAACCAAAGGGAATGCCGATGGTAGCCAAGCACTACACGCCCTTCCGCAAGACCACGCTGGCCGTGCCTTCCCCGTCCAAGCAAATTCAACACACCAAAACTATTCGGTCCAAGTCGGAGGCGTTTATCTCTGTCCCCGACGTGTGTAGCGACTACCAAGCCTACTTTTCGTACGTCGTTGGACCAGACGACAACGGCAATCCCATCAAGGACCGCGTCGGCGCCATCCACGCATTGTTGATCGCCAAGTTCGTTCTTCTATCGTTTACTACGTCATAGAAACTGTTTAGTCGTCTGAAGTTGTCTTTTTGTTGATTAGGGGTATTGTAGTCTGGTTTGACTCTGAAAAAGCAGTGCCGTCGCCCAAGCTGATCGACCAAGGCTTGCTACACGCGTCGGTGGTCATAGTGTTTCTCACTCGAAGTTATATGAATCAAGTCAACGGCGATGGCGTCATGGCGGCGAGTCAGTACGAATTTACGATGGCCCTTCGCCACCAAACCATGAGCCACATGCTGTTTTGCGTCCTGGAAGAGGACATGATGCGATACGTACGTACAGCTTTCACTTGCTCCTCGGAGACGTTGGGAGGGCTACATTATCTACTGGTCACGAGCACCCCGCAGAACAATCGCTTGACTAGCTAGCCGACTTATGCCCCTGTGAATCTTTTTGAGATATGGACATGAAGAAGGTATATACTACTTGAGCAAATGGCATTGTATTGTAGGACAGTCTCACGGGAGAGTTTCGGGAGTTGGTCGGGGACGCGGCGTGCATGGACTTTACCGACGACAGCTTCCTCGACGAAGCATGCGACGAGCTTGTTGAGACCATCAACCGCCTCGATTCGACCAAAGACGACTTTGCCCAGCCCAACAACGTGGCGCGCTGGGGCGTGAGTGCGCTCATCCGATTCCTCAAGCAGCCCACGACGCCCCCCGACTTTATCGACGAGATCCTGCACGCATTGGTGACCATGTCGCTGCAAACTCGGCTCGCCGAGAAAATGGTGACCAAAGGCATGTTGCCGCTCGTGCTTAACATGTTGAAATTGCACCAACACAACTCGACCTCTGGTACAACGTCCATCAAACTGCAGTGGAAACTCGTCAAATCGCACCAATAATGCATCTTGCTTTCCGTGACTAAGTAATGGTAGAACGAGGGTTGGAGCTGATGTTGTTGCTACTCAAAGTCCTCGCGCGTACCAATGCAGTCAGTCGACGCAAAACCATCTCGTTGGTGCAAGATATGGCCCTGTTGCCCGTGTTCTTAGACCTGCTCAAGGTTGCCCTGATTTAGCCATCTCCTTTTCATCACAAAAGGCGAAACACTCATCGGGTACTTGTCTAGGATGGACGAGGGGCGGCGAAAGAAAACGCGGCCGGTATGCTCCGCAACATCTTTGGAGCGGGGGAGCGCATGAGCACGCTGCCCGACGTCACGACCAGCGAGCCGTTTAAGTCACTCGTGACATTGCTCTTGTCCATGTTTGTCCAAGGCAATGTCAATCAGCAAGTACGTGTATTGTCAACTCGTCGACTGTTTGTCAAGTGTGTGGTCGGCTTATAAGTACTGCTATGACCAATTTCACTGCTTTGTTTATGCTGTATGAGTAGTACGAAGCCGCGTCGGCACTGAGCGCGTGCGCCGGGCATCGGGACTTCCAGACGCTGATCGTGCGCGCCAACGGCATCCGCATTTGCCTCGTCCAAATCATGAAGGTCGACATCAACGAATGTGTCCGAGATCATGTAGCGATTATCCTCCGGTGCTTGAGTGGCACCGAAGCCAACCAGCGGGAAATCGGGTCCGAAGGGGGGGTCGAAGCGTTCTTGACGTTGCTTGAGACGGGCTCCACGGGCCAGCGAGGTACCTTGTCCCCCGTCGTGTTTTTTTTATTGCTTGCTCTTTCGATCAATGTTGGTGTTGGTGTTGGTTGTTATGTGCTTCAAATTGCACTTTCGACGATGCACGTGCCTAGAAACGAGCGCCGCGGCGTTGAATTGGCTCATGGAAGTAGAGGACAATCGGTGCATCCTTGCTGGCGACGGTGGTATCCCAACGTTGCTCAAGTTTATCAAAACAGGCACACTTGTACGTGATCTGCCACACTATGACGTCATGACTGATGGCTTTTGTGTCATAGTTCACCCGCCAACAAACGATCAACGCACTGAGCAAATTGGCCCCCCATAACCTCTTTCACGCAGAATTGGCTTCTGCCGGCGCCTTGGGTACAGTTCTTGTGCGGTTCTTTGCACAGTACATTGCAATGATTGAATAATGATTGGAGCTAGAGCCCTGCTTGGCGGTGTTGGACACTGGCGTGGACAGCCAAAAGACGGCCGCGGCGCATGTGCTGGTCGCGATTGCGTCCACGGACAAGGTCGATGCCATGGCCAAGGCCATTCCGATCATGGTCAAGTTGTTTTACCGAGGGTCCACCGCCCAGAAACGTCTGGCGGTCGACGTCTTGTCCAAGCTCGGCCGGCGCAAGCAGTTCAAACAAATTATTCTCGGCAGTGGCATTCCAGAAGGTGAAAACTATCATACAGTACAACTACGCAGTATATGGCGCGACGACGGTATCACTTAGCTTGGTGGCAGCAGACCTTTGGCAAATATGTGTGGCTATCTATATATTGCACATTGTAATTCTCGTACTGGATATATACATACTCTATGCGTTGTTTTTAATGTGATTTGAACACCTATTTTTTGTTATTGTGTTTAGACGTGTTGGCCCTTGGCTAGCCGACAGCCGCGATCACTTTAGACAGTCGGTGGGTGCAATAACGCGTCGACAAATGCTGTCCACCCTCGTACCCAAGTCTCGAGGGGAATGTCCAAATTGAATGGCCCCTGGAGCAACACATAACATCACCGTTAAAGTTATGTATGGGGGGGGCGTGAAGTATCATATAATATACCATGTTGAGCTCGAAGTAACTCTTGGTGGCGTCGACTTTCGACGGACGCGCGGCTGCAAACACGCGGATTCCGGTGGCAAGTTCAGCTGCATCCCGCGCAGCGGTCACTTGCGCGACGGATCCAGGCAAGTGAATGTGCACCATCGACACATCGGGGACCGGAGGGTCGAAACGGATGGCTGGGACGGCTTCCGACACTGCCGCCACCACCGCTTGTAGTTGACGACGTCGAGCCACAAACTCGGCATGGGGATACCGACGGAACCCAGCCCACGACGAGACTGCGTACGGCAGTTGGGTGAACAAATTGCCTCCAAATCGTCGGAGCCAGACTTGGGCGGCGTCGATAAAGGCATCGTCCCCGAGCAATATGGCGCCAGTGATGCCGCCCAGGCCCTTGTAGAAGGACACGTAGACAGAGTCGAAGAGCGCGGTGATTTCGTGGAGGGAATGATCGGGGTAGCCGGCTTCGGCTGTAGCCATGGGTATCCGAGTTAGCCTCACGAATTATAGCGACAAGGAAGTGTACCTTCCCAGAGACGAGCGCCATCCAAATGGAAGGCAATGCCGCGGCTACGTGCAAGTTGGGATACGCGTTGGAGCTGATCGAATGGAATCAACTTTCCGCCGATTTCGCGCTCGGGCAATTCCAGCACCAAAGTCGCGGGGGGCGATGACGGATCGCCCAGGTGGGACTTCACTTCGTCAAACGAAAGGCTGGGGTGAAAACCGTCGGGGGAGGAGCAGGACGAAGGAGATGGCGGTGGAATGATGACAGCTTCGAGGTTCAGGAGGTGCGAGAACGAGTTCTGTTCATGCAAATGCAAGTGCGAGTCGTGTCTTGCGACAAATGAGTTTCGCTGGGTAGTCTCGGCGTGAATCTTGAGCGCAATGCCTTGGGCCATGACTCCCGATGGCACAAACAGAGCGCGGGGCTTGCCCAGTCGCGCAGCTACTTCGGCTTGGAACGTGCGTAGCCACGATGGGGACGATGAGGTGTTGAAGTCGCCGTACACGTCGAACGATGTGACACCCAACGACAAGGCGTCCTCACTGAGCTGAGAGAGCACCTCGGCGGGAGACTTGGGCTTTTTTGCGCTGCTTAACGTCACCGAAGGAGCCATGATGGTCGTGCTGATAGGTGGGCTCGGAATTACGAAATGATGACTTTCAGGAAGAACATCATTTGTTTGTCTCACGGATACCAGTATGTACCGGTACTATACTAGGTCACCAAATCAAAAACAAATAGATTTCCTGAAAGGCAAGGTTGTTTGCAAAGGACTCCAGCCATTGCTGTATTTGAGCCATATTAACGAGAGATTGAGTCGTTTCGTCAACAGATTTCGTTTTGACGAAAGACAGGGTATCTGATTAAAGATGCACACATAAAACTAATTCACCCAGGTATTGATCAAAACGAAGTCATTGATCAAAAACTCGGATGACTACCAAATTTATATAAATATTTAATTTAGACTTGTTGTTTGTATGCAATACAAATATCAAGTTTAATCTGGTACTTCAATTAACGACGACCACTCGGCGACATGAATGGCGCACGCGCTGCAAAGGAAGACCGCAACATGTCAGTGGCCAGCCGTTCAGCGCGTCTTTGAACGTAGCGCCGTTGGGTCGCGGCTCGGGCGGTCCTCTTCTCTTCCGCCATACGCGCATACCGAGCCAGTACCGAACGGTACTGGTGTTGGTCATCCTCGCGCAGCGGCATGAGGCCAAGGTGGAAGTTGGTGAGCGCAAAGGTAAGACGTTGAATTCCGTCGAAGAACTTGTGATCCCAAACGTACGTACTGAGTGATATCTTCCACAGGAGACAGACGCGACCAAAGAAGTTCTCCACGATGACGCGGTCCGAAGCCACAGCAGCGTTGCGGTCAAGGTCGGCGCGGTCAAGGGTTCCCCCGCACAGGCCGCTTCTTTGGGTGGATGGCACGAATCGTGTGCGACAGACCCACATACACCAAGTCCACGAGAACAGCCCACATGACTGGGTGAGTCTGGAACTGTTCGCCGTTGTCGTTGACTTGTACTTCCTCAGGGCGCTTGGACAGTGCGGAGACGTGCAAGTCGTGGCGGTTGCGGAACACGGTCAAGTCATGCACTGAACCAGGTTCGTA